TACATGGGAGTTCAGCGACATAGCCATTACGCTAACTGCTGGTCCCTCCCGGATTCTGGCTAGTGGCTAGTCTCTGGGCTGGGCTGTCTCATTGTCCTCTGGGCGCCCTCCACCCTCCGTGAGGGAGAAGCCTGCCCTGCAGGTGCCAGGCGGGGCCACACCTGGCCCACTTCTGCTCCTCAGGCTGCTGGATGCCAAACGACAGCCAATGATCCCAGCCTGCAGGGCTTACGGGACAGGCACCCCCAGGAAAGGGGATGGGAACTTCAGGCCCAAGGTTGGCCTGAAAAACATGTGTTAAACTTCAAGGACTTTACCCAGGCCGGAGTGACTCATTAACTCCCTGTCACCCATCAGTGCCCGCCAGCCCGGTCTACAGGGAAGCAGGCTGGGGCTGGGAGGTGCTTTCCAGCTGTCTTCACTTCTAAGAGGGAGTCTACGCCTTTGCAGAGGGACCAAGGCCTCCGCCCGGGGTGTCTGCTTGCTGCCTGGGTTGGGCCTGCGCGCCCTGCCCGCTAGGTCCCAGCACCAGGGTCCTGGGTCTGGATCCTCCTCCCTCTCAGTGCTTGTTCTTTTTTCTCTTTTGGAGAGGTTTTGTTATAGGGCGCGTGCGCTCACCAGACAGACAGACAGAGAGACAGAAAGCGAGAAATCACCCCCCAGGGGGGATGGCCACGCCGCAATCCCTTCTCCTCCATTCTCCTCTCGGGATCTCAGGCACGCACGCACACGCGCCTGGCGTGAGTTTAACCCACCGGGTCCGGGACTCAAACCGTGGTCGACTACATGGGAGTCCAGCGACATAGCCATCACTCCAACTGCTGGTCCCTCAGTGTTTGTTCTTGACCTATGGGTTCATCATCCCCATGGCGGTCACAGCGGTGCCCCTAGCCAGGAAGCGGTGCAGTTTCGGAAACGCGGAATGTGGAAAGAACTCGGAGCAGTGCGGTATGGCGGCTCACCAGGGGGCTCACGGCCCTGTGCCTTAGTATACAAGGAGCTCTTGATAAGGGAGTCCTGTGTCCCTCGGGCCGTAGATGCCTCCCAGGCACCTGCAAGTTCCAGGTTGGTGCCAGTGGCCTGGGATGCACTGCCTGCCCCTGCTTCTCGCCGCGGCCAGGGAGCTGGAGAGCCCAGTTCAGTCCTTCCCTTCCATGGTGGGGCCTCGTCTGCCTCAGACCTGTGGGTCCAGGAGCCCTGGGAAACCGCTGCGGCCAAGTTCTGGGTGCAGAGGGGTTAACAGAGGCCCACGCAGGGTGGCAGACTGCTCAGGCCTCTGCCATCAGCCGGAGCCGGGCAGAGCTGGGTCTCTGTGTTCTCAGCCTCCTGGCAGACACAAGCCAAGGCCCCCACGTCTCCACCCTGTTGGGATTTGGCACATGTGCTGCTGACATTTTTCAAGCCTCCAGTTGGGATCTGAACCGTGGCTGGCCATGTGGGATCCGGCTCCCTAACCACTGGGCCAAGGTGCCAGCCCCAGGGCACTGCTGGCCTCGCCTGTGCCCACAGGCCGCTGGTCACTGATTCTGACAGGTGCAGCATCTGAAATCTGAGGGCCCTGTCCTCCTAAAGGTGGTCACGTTCCAACACCCTTCTGTCCCTGCGTTCCCCCGTTTTTGCGGTGCCCACGCTTTGATGAGATTTCCTGTGCTTTCTCTTCTGCGGAGTGGGATTTGTTTTCCAAACATCTGGCAGCCTTGGGTGTGGCTTATGTCACAGAGAAAGGCCCTGCTCAATAGAGAAAGCCGTGGGGCCAGGCCGCGTGGGAACGACGCGATGCTTCGCTCCATCGAGGTGACCCACAGGTCGCGTCTGCCTCCATGGGTGTGGGCACACACGTGCTTCGTGATCCAGGCTGGCCGAGGGCTGGCGGTGTGAGGACCCTCTTAGGGGCGTTCTCTCTCTCCCACCGAGGGGACTCCCTGGAAGTTACAGAGAGATACCTTTTTCTGCAGGCTGTACTGATCAGAGGGCCACAAGGAAGCCCTCCCACACCTGCTGGCTCCACATGAGCTCCCAGAGCCCCCATATGCCGGCCCTGCCGTGCAGGATGGCGGTGAGAAACTCCGAGCCGTGCCTGGGGTGGTACTCGGGCTAGGACGCAGCTGTTCTTCCACGGAAACTAGCCTGGAGTACAAACCTGAAGGAGAAACAGGGTAATGGGGGTGGGGCGTTGGAGGGAATGGACCCCCCCATAGGTGTTCCAGCGCAGAGGCGGTCCTTCCGGAAAATTCTATAAGTAATCTCTCCAGGGTCCAGCTCCTTTCCTGTTTGAGGTAGGTTCCTGCTGCCGTTTAACTTCTTTCAAGCCGACCCTGATTGCTGCCAGTCTTTGAGAAATTCGTTAAGTCCAGAATTGGGCACCTGCTACGTCCCGAGGGTCGCAGCCACTGGTCTGCTGCTGAAGGAGACGAAGTGTACAGAAGACGACACGTGACATGCCAGGGGCCTTCGGGAAGCTCACGGGCCGCGTGTACCAGGGAAGGCGAGGCATGGGTTTCACAGTCCGCACCGCACTAGCCCACGCTTCAATGGCATCTCCCTCCAAGCCATGGAAGTCCCCACGTGAGACAGCACCAAGCTCGGGCAGGATTGGGAACGGGGGCTGTCAGGGCTGCTAGCCTGGCTGGGTCGTCCGAGCAGGCCTCACAGGAGAACCCGAGGGGACACAGGAAGTGTGCATGCAGGTGGGAGAGCTTACTCAGGGGAAGGGACAGCATGTTCAAAGGCCCTGAGGTGGAGCCTGGCATGTCTGAGAAACGGCGAGGCCAGAGTAGCTGGCGTACTGTGAGCGGGGTGGGGCCTAGAGGGGGGCCAGGGCTGGATGGGGCCAGGCCCTGCAGGACCTCAGGGCTGGGCTGAGAACTCGGGCTTGGCTTGTTCTGAGTAAGGTGGGAGCCCCGGGGGTTTGGGTGGAGATATGACCTGCCTTGGGTCCGGACAGGGCCCTCTTGGCCGTCCTTCGGTTTCTGGCCAGCGGGGCCTCCTCCCTGTGTGCGGAAGCTGCCCCGGGTGTAGCTTTGTCTCTGAGCCTTTAACCTGCTGGTGTTTTCACCCAGGCGGGGAGATGCTGGGCTGGGTGCGTGTGAGGAGGAAGGACCAGGGCAGGCAGGCAGGTGGGAGGCCCACCCTGGCCAAGGCGGCCATGGCCCCTCTGTGGGCCCGACTTCATCCTCACACCCGACTCCAAGCCGTCCGGCCAAGCCGTGATTTGGACCCTGACAGCAGAAGGCCAGGAGCTGGGGCTCAGAGGGGGTGCCCAGACCCCAGCACTCCACAGAGCCTGCTTCAGCAGGCTGGGAAGGCCCACAGGGCAGTACCCCTGGGGAGACCTGCTCCCTAACTCCCAGTGTAGGAGGGCCAGGGTGACAGGCTGTCAGTGGTGGGGTGACAGCCTGGCTCTGCCTCACAGCCCTTCTCTCTCCTTTCCAGCTGTGACGGAGGCCCAGGCCCTCTGAGCCCATTTCGTCTCTGGTAACGTGTTACCGTGTGCCAGGGCGCCCAGCACCGGGGCTCTGAGTGTCTGCGCAGGCATTCTGAGCCTCACTCTCCTCGCGAGATCGACCTCTGCAGACGTGAAACACTGTCTTCAGAAAGGTGCTGCAGAGACGGGCCCACTGCTTTGAGGTGGGCTACGCAAACCTTCTGGGGCCTCCCACATGCCGGTGGCGGTGCAGGATCGACCGCACGCTTTGCTTTCCTTTCTGAGGGTGCGAGCAGAAGGGGGGTGCGGACAGGACACCGAATACCGTACTTCTCTAACAGTACAGCACCCTGGCAAGCCCCTTCCGGGAGAAGACGCAGCGTCTGGGGCTGGAGGTGCAGGTGCGGGTAGACTGGGCCAGGCAGGGCACGCTTGGCCGACTGCACTTTGGGGCGATCTGCGGTCCCACCTGGGAACCGAACTTCAGGGAAGCCCCTTGTGGACGCCGCGAGTCCACGGCGAGGGCTGGGGCGCGGGAAGGTGGCCGGGGCCCGGGGCCGGCAGCGGCCTGCGGGATCCCGGCGCGCGTGGGCAGCGGCCCGC